GTCCAGACAGGGCAGATCTTCTTCAAAGACCCGTATGCCATAGTCAACACTACCCTTGTTCATTCTGATCCATCCTCCCGGGGTGCTCTCCACACTCTGCCCACCAGCCCAAAAATTCCCTGGCCTTCAAAAAGTCCCTGAGATAAGCACCATCTCAAAGCTCATCTCCTCTGTGAGCAAATATAGACACAACTCGCTTTATTGCACTTCACTTTATTAAGCTTCGCAGTGTTGTGTTTATTACAAATTTAAGGCAAGACTCTCTGCCAGCAAAAAAATTACAACTCACTTTATTATAGTCTGGAACTGAACCATAATATCTCCACGGTATGCCCATAAATAGCAAAACAACTCCCCCATCTTAATACCCACAGCACTTAACCAATATTCTTTACAGTCTGACATTTAACCATATATAAAATGATTCTGCATTATATGAGAATGGCTAGTTTTATGCACCAACTTGACTAGGCTACATACACTACCCAGTTTTTTGGTCAAACATTATTCAAGATGTTTCCATGAAGGTATATTTCTAGATGTGATTAACGTTTAAATCAGCAGACTTTAAGTAAAGCAGACTATTATCCTTCATAACGTGTTTAGGCTTCATCTAATCATTTGACAGTCTTAATAAAAAAGACTGATCTCTCCTGGAAAAAAGAGAAAATTTTGCCTGCAGAATGCCTTCCAACTCAAATTCCAGAATCTGGGTTTCCAGCCTACACTGCAGGTTTTGGACCTGCTAGCCTCCACAATCACATGAGCCAATTTCTTAAAATCAATCTCTTTCTTCCTCTCTCTCTTACATTCTCTCTCTCTAGTTCTTTCTCCTTCACACACACACACACACACACACTATAAATATACATATACATACCACTATATATGTATACACATACATATGCAGTCATATGCTATATAATGATGTTTCGGTCAATGACAGACCACATCTGGGACGGTGATATACCATATAACCTAGGTGTGCAGCAGGCTATACCATCTGTTGTAAGCACACTCTATGATGTTTGCACAGTGATGAAATCACCTAAAGATGCATTTCTCAGAACATATCCTGGTTGTTAAGTGGTGCATGAATGTGTGTGTCTCTGTGTGTGTGTGTGTGTGTATCCTATTGATTCTGTTTCCTTGGAGAACCCTAACACAATATACTATACAGTTTTAGATTATTCCCTGCAGCATATAAAGTTTGGCCTACTTAAAAGGCTGAATTATCTCTGAACTATTTTTTTAATAGTCCCTACAGTGTTCTATATAGAGCAGGGGTGAAACATTAATTGGTGTTTCTTTATGACTAAACCTTGCATCCTTCCAGTTTCCTAACTGTTCGGCCTCACCTGTGATACACATGTAAATGCATAACAAAGCAATAAGGTGAAAGAGAGAAAAGCAACACTGGCATCATTTTTCTATGGATAAATCCCAAAGATGGTTCAAGTCTATTAAGAATGGGTAATTCTAATATCATATTAATTTGCACATGGACAGTGAAATGTAAAAACTTTGGTTTAATGTTTGTCCTATGATCCTGAAACCCATTCTTCTTAGTTTTTCACCCTCTAGATAGCACTCTCTAGTAAAAAATTATTTCAATCAATCATCAAAATAATAACACAAGGCCTAACTTAAAAGTAATATATTGCACTTAGAAGACTATTCTCAAGATCCATCCATGTTGTTGGCAAATGGCAGTATTTCATTTTTTTTTATAGCTAAGTAGTTTTTCCACTGTACATATGTACCATATATATTTTTAAATCCTCACCCAAGGACATTTTTTCCATTGATTTTTAGAGAACATGAAAGGGAGGGAGAGAGGGGATGGAGAGAGAAAAAGAGAAATATCAATGAGAGACACATTGATTGGTTGCCCCCGCATGCTCCCCAGCCAGGGATCAAACCTGCAACCCACGTATGTACCCTTGACTGGTAATCGAACTCATGACTCTTAGTGTGTAGGCCAATGCTCTAACCACTGAACAACACTGGTAAGGGCCAGATATGTTTTTGGTGGGTTTTTTTTAATTGATTTTAGAGAGAGAGGAAAGGAGAGGGAGAGAGAGATAGAAATATCGATGAGAGAGAACACTGACTGGCCGCCTCCTACATGCCCTCCACTGGGGATTGGGCCCACAACCTGGGCATGTGCCCTAACCAGGAATTGAACTGGCGACCTCTTAGTGCATGGGTCAACACTCAACCACTGAGCCACACCTGCTGGGCCAGATATGTTTTTTTAACTAATTTTTAGAGAGAGGGGAAGGTAGAAAGAGAGAAACATCAGTGTGAGGAACATCAATGGGTTGCCTCCTATACAAGCCCTGAGATTCTGCAACCTAGGTATATGCCCTGACCAGGAAACCCACAACCTTTCATTGTACAGGACAATGCCTCAACCAACTGAGCTACCTAGCCAAAGCTATGTACCATAGCTTCTTTTTTTTTTTTTTAATATATTTTTTGAGAGAGAGGAAGGCAGAGGGAAAAAGAAAGAGAAACGTCAATGTGATAGGCTACCTCCTGCATGCCCCCTACCTGAGACGGAGCCCACAGCCCAGGCAGAGGGGAATGGAACCAGCAACCTTTTGGTGCACTGGACAATGCCAAACCAACTAAGTCACACCAGCCAGGGTTCATACCTTCTTTATCAATCATCTATTGAAGCGAAATATGTCAGAAAGAAAAAGTCTACAACCATATGATTTCACTTATATGTGGGACATAAAACTGAAAGCGACAAATAAACGAGAAAATCAAACAAACAAAAACTCATAGACACAGACAACAGTATGATGGTTACCAGAGGGAAGGGGCATGTGGGATAGTAAAGGGTGAAGGGGGTCAATACATGGTGACGGAAGACTTGACTTTGGGTGGTGGACACACAATGCAATGTACAGATGATGTATGACAGAACTGTACACTTAAAATCTATATGCTTATTAACCAATGTCACCCCAATATATTTTTTTAAAGTAATAAAAATACTTACTTTTCAACAGTCAAATATTACTTCTCAGAGATTATTTATTTATTTTTTTATTTTTTTTATCCTCACCTGAGGACATTTTTCTATTTTTTGTTCAGGTAGAGTGGGAGGGGGAGAGAGAGAGAGAGAGAGAAACATCGATGTGAAAGGGACACATCGAGTGGCTGCCACCCGCACGACCAACCAGGGCCGGGGACAAACTGCAACGGAGGTACATGCCCTTAGCGGGAACCGAACCCGGGTCTCTCGGGACTGCAGGCCGATGCTCTAACCGCTGAGCCAAACCGGCCAGGGCATCTCAGAGATTTTTTAGCTCACTGTAAATCCCCTCCCTTTGAGGAGACATGAAATGTCTGAATCAACCTACTCAAACAAATTGACAAGATGTATTTTCATAGGGATAAGAAGGCCAGTCTGGGGAGATAAATGGTGATAAATGGATATTTGACTTGGGTTGAATATACACTACAGTATACAGATGATGTGAGGCAGAATTGTGCACCTGAAACCTGTATAACTTTGTTAACCAGTGACACTCCAAAAAATTCAATAAAAAACAAAATAAAATAAAAAAGAGCCCTGGCCGGTTTTGCTCAGTGGTTAGAGCATCAGCCTGCGGTCCAGAGAGACCCGGGTTCAGTTCTTGCTAAGGGCACGTACTGTGGTTGCAGTTTGTCCCCGGCCCTGGTTGTTCGTACAGGTGGCAGCCACTCGATGTGTCCCTTCACGTCGATGTTTCTCTCTCTCTCTCCCTTCCTCTCTCTCCCTCCCACTCTATCTGTACAAAACATGGAAAAATATCCTCGGGTGAGGATAAAAAAAAATAATAATAAAATAAAAATAAATAAAAAATGAAGCAAATCTGACCCAAACACTGAAATGGTTTACCCAAAAATTTCTGAGTACCTTCTAAATGCCAGACTCCCATGGGGAACTGAGAAATTTCAAATTATATTAGCTAATGCCAGAACATATAGACTGCTCACATTTTGTAAGCTACAGTGATGTCCACATTTCTACTCCCACCAGTTAAATGCATATCAAAAATCTATTTGTCCCTGTTAAAAGTAATATGCCCAAGATGGAGAAACTCATGCTAAATCTCATGTCAGCAAACTAAAACTTAACTAAGTTTCTATGCTTAGCTCTCCAGAAAAAGGAAGGTCCAGGTCAACCAATCAGCACTTGCCTGCTTAATACCAATTACCTAATCCAGTTCCCAGGCTTCTCTTTGCTTTATGTAAGGAAAGTTAGCCTGCTTTAACTAGTCAGCTAATGCCCTATTACTTCCTTGTTCCTGCTCACTTTGGTCTATAAAAATCTCTCACCTTCTACAGCTCTTTGGAGCTCCTTTCTATTTGCTAGATTGGATGCTGCCAAATTCATGAATTGTTGAACAAAGCCTACTAGATCAGTCAACTATGTGGAAATTTTTCTTTTAACATACCCAAACCTGGTTATATCACTTTGTACTCACTACTGCAATTGCATAATTGAATTTAATACTATGTAAACTGATCATAAATGAGCAAAAATGTGGCTACAAAATTAAGAAGTTACTATTTCTATAAAAATTAAGTTGAATACTTTGGAAATTATCCATAAAGGCACTATTTTCCTTAAAATTTTTTTCGTTTATAAGACAACTACAAAAGACTAGGAAAAAAATTCTAAACCACTAGAATTTTGTACTCAGACTGCTTCGAAGTTTCTAAAGTCTCAAACTACTTTTAAAAAATTAAAACTAGAAAATATAGAAGTTACTATATGTACATAATATATACCAAAACAACGATTCAGCACTCTACTCTTACTCAAAGAAAACTCTTACCCTAGGTCAAAAGATAGGCTACCACATTGCCTACTACTACCAGAACAATCCATTAGGAAAGTAACCTTGCATCTGAATGCTCCCTGAAGCCAAGCTATTCTACCTAAAACTAAAATCCCCCTGTAGAGAAGCAAAAGTTCAAAAAAAGTATATACGTACCAGGTATTCACTATGGCACTATTTATAACAGCCAAGACTCTCTAACCACAATCCAAATGTCCAATAATATGGGAGTGATTGATTAAATTACAGCACATTCACACAATGAAATATTATATAACTGTAAAAAAAAAACAACCATAAAGAATGTCTCTATATAGTTGTATGAGTGATCTCCAGGAAATAATAGAAAGAGTAAAAACCAAGAAGAGAAAATTATGTATAGTTTGCAACCACTCATCTAAGATTGGGTTGGGAGGCAGCAAGTACACAGGAGTGCACATGCATGCACACATACTTGCTTATATGTTTTAAATGGAATGACGGGGAGAGAGGAACAGAGGGAACAGGATAAAAGCTATTTATTTATTTATTATTTATTTTGCTTTGTTCTGCAGACTTGGCTCAGGAACTATGTATGTTTTCCAAAAATATTAACAATTTTTTTTAATCTAAAAGTATTTTACTCCCTAAAATTTAAAAGCATAATGAAACAAACCTAAATATTTATTGACTCAGTATAACCATGCAAAAAAGAATTATTTCAAATAACTTAAAATAAATTTTTACCATAATCCCTAGAAGAATATATCCTAAGAATAAAAAGAACTGGAGAAATATGTTTTAAATTCTTAAACCATTTTCAGTAACTGTATTATTAGTAATACTATTGATAAATAAGAATGGTATCAATATTGTTAGAAACCAAGATTTTCAGCAAGAGATACAAATGTGAAATCAAAGAAGTTCAACAGAAATCTATATTCCTAAATTAAAATTGGAAAAATCAGTATGACACTCATGAAGTATTTTCTCTTAAAAACAAAATCTTTTCTAGCTCTGGCCATTGAGAAAACCTAGAAGCAACAACTAACCTGTGGTATCCCAACAGTGATCCTTGAATACAAATTCCCACTCAAAGGAACCAGGCTCCAAGAAAGGGCTGTTTCCAGATCTGCTGTTGAAAATGCGCAAGATGAACCTAGATTTCTTATCATACCAGAAAACAGTAAGACATCAAAGGTGTGCATGTCAAAAGAACTCAAGAACCAACCTAAAGGTGTTCTCACTGGCCAACAAAGGGATAATTTGATTACCAGTGAAAATACTAACTATAATGGACTTTAAAAATAATCAAATGTGTTAAAATTTGTGTGTTTAATAATGATATTGTTAAAAATAAACAAAAAGACATCATTAGCTATTTTTGGAGCTATTAAGGACCCTCGAAGAGTTGTAAATAAAGGAAAAGAATCATTTATTTAACCCGTTTTCCCTGTATAAAGTGTGCCTCCGAGTAACCAAGTAACTGAAAGAGAAACTTCTCCATGGAAGTATCACAGCTAATAAATGAAGAAGAAATGATGACACCAGAATAGCAACATCTCACAAACCCCTAACTAAATAATGGAGGCATGCAAATTATAAGTGGCCACTAACATACCGAAGAAAAACATAATCAGATATTATATGCTGTTGCAAACCATGTGTATAAAATATTCTTACAACAAAAATGAACCTAAATAAAATCAAACCTCTAAAACTAACATTCAGTTGATAGGAACACGGGGTGGGTGGGGGATAAACATGTTAAATGATACCAGTGAGATGCACTGAATATGAATGAATGAATGAATGAATGAATGAATGAATGAAACCTACAGGTTAAAAGATTTTAAAGCAAACAGATCAACTGAATGTAATGTGTAGATGGACCTTATTTAGATCCTGATTTATATAAATCAACTGCAAAAAGAGTGCAAAATACCTTTGGAATGATAATGGTATTGTGATTAATTTTAAGAAAATAGCCTTAACTTTCAGTGGAAGTACTGAAATATTTAGATAAAATGATATAATAACTAGAATTTGCTTCAAGAAATGCAGTGGGAAAGGGGCACAAGGAAACAAAACGGCTGAGTGGGCGCCGGGTGTGTCCACAGCAGTTCACGGCACTGTTTCTCCACTTTTATATATATTTAAAATTTTCCTTAACTAAGTTTTAAAAATTTGAAAAATGACTATACATTCATGGTTTATACAAGTTTTCCCTTCAGTTCTTGTGGCATCAGTAGCAATACTCAGACGCTTTCCGGTCTGCCCTCAGAAATGCATGCCCTCGTTTGTCTAAATTATAAACTAAAAGCACAGAGCATGCTACATAGGAGGTGCTCAATAAATTTAAATTAATAAATTCTGTTTGTTATATATCGCCCTTGCTCTGGTTAAACTCTCCAATAACTTTAAGCTGTTGATTCAATTTGTAGTAGAGAACGAGTAAATATTACCAAATGCAAAAAAATGAGACAAAAAATCCCAAACCCTGCATTTAACCTTTTATTTTTATTTATTTTTTATCCTCACCCGAGGACATTTTTTGACATTTTGTTCAGATAGAGTGGGAGGGAGGGAGAAAGAGAGAGAGAAACATCGACGTGAAAGGGACACATCGACCACAGGACCCAACCAGGGCCGGGGACAAAATGCAACCGAGGTTAAACTGCAACCGAGGTACGGCCCTTACCGGGAACCGAACCCGGGTCTCTCCAGACCACAGGCCGACGCTCTAACCGCTGAGCCAAACCAGCCAGGGCTAATCTTTTAAATCTAAATTCCACAAATGATGCTTATTCTTTTATTGTGGTAAAAAACATGTAGCAAAATTTATCAAATTAATCACATTTAGGTTTATAGTTTAATAGGGTTAAATGCTGTATATTCACATTGTTGTGAAAAGTTCTCCAGAACTTTTCTAGTTGAAAAACTAGAACTCTATACCCATTAAACCAAGATGCTTGTTCTTAATATTTCCTACCCATTGCCTATTCTATCCTATACATGCCTCTAACTAACACAACAGCTTTCAAAGTATAATTCTTCTGATGATAGAGCAATCATATTTTTTAAGAAAACACAAAATAACTAGCCCTTAAAGGAAATGTGAGAGGTCAGAAATATGAATGTGAACAGAAGATACAAAAGCCCAGTGTAGAAAAGAGGACAGACAGGGCTGGAACTGGCTTCAGGATCACTCTGAATAGCATGAGGGGCCAGAAGAGGCAGGCCCACAGCTACGAGAAGTCAAATGAGGCAGCAATGACTATAGAAGCAATAGTCCTTTCATGTTTACATTCAACAGAGGCTTACCACTCCTCCTAGTGTCCTACACGGGTGTCCTACAACCATGATGGCAAGACTGCTGATAAGGACACAGTGCCAATCTAAGAATCCTTAGATCTGGTACTTAGGAAAGCACTGTGCCAAGCCTTATTCAACAGACTTCCAGTTAACTATGCCTATTCAGACCTACAAAATAATAATAATAATGATTCAGCTATAAATTCAATAACAGCCCTGGCCCGTTTTGCTTCGCGGTTAGAGCATCGGCCCGCAGACCAGAGAGTCCTGGGTTCGGTTCCACTATGGGCACGTACCTCGGTTACAGTTTGTCCCCGGCCCTGATTGGGGTCGTGTGGGTGGCAAGTACTCGATGTGTCTCTCTCGCAATGATGTTTCTCTCTCTTCCTTCCTCTCTTCCTCCTGTTCTATCTGAAGATAAATGCAAAAATGCCCTCGGGTGAGGCTAAAAAAGTAAATAAAATAAATTCAATAACAATAATCTACCATAGTATAACTATGTACCAAATATGTAAGAAAAAGGATCATTGGTACTTTCTGCCTATTACTATAGTTTTAATTAACTTTGGTATTTCTACCTTAGAAAGTTGAACCCTGAGTAAATTGCTACCTTTGAAAATCATTTTCAGCCCTGGCCAGATGTTTCCTTTTCACCAATGTTTCTCTCTCTCTCCCTCTCTCCCTTTCTCTCTTTAAAATCAATGAAGACATATTTTTAAAAAGAAAAAAATCACTTTCATACATTATTCTTCCAAAGTACAACTCCCAGCTGAGCCTCCATGGGGACCACTCTAGGAAAGATAAAGAGATTTTTTTCCACACACAAGACTGAGGACATTGGCAGGGTCAGACTTGTCAAAGGTCTGTTTACAGAAAAGACCAAGAAATCTTAGGAGGAAACTCATTCTAATTCAAGAGCCTAGGTTTAATCCAAGTAAGCCAGACAACATGAGAACAGAGTGTAGCTTGGAAGACAATAAGGTGTCTATCACTCACACTATGCTGCATAAAACAAGTGAGCTAGAGTTAAAGGCACTTTTCTAAAAGGCTCTGTAAAACAATAAAATCTGAGGACTTGGCAGCACAAGAAGCAGCAGCTGTTAGCCACCAAACCGAGAGCAGCACTGGTGATGATGACCATCCTGGTGACCCAGCCATGATGGCTGCCCTCTAAACATGATGACTTTGCACTGGCAACAATGGTTGTACTTACAGTCGTGGGTACAGGGGTGGGAGCTCCCAGCTGGGCCTCCAGCAGGCTGGGTTTGGGTATGTGTGTATATGCACAAACACAAGGCTATGTGTGTGTATAACAGACACGTATTAACAGTGCAGCTGGAGAGCATCCAGGAAGAAAACGGGTAAATCACTAAGGAACTGCCACTTTTCCTAGACTGACTGATTTTTTTTTTTTTTTACTATTATATAGTAGCACAAATAAAACTTAATTTTGAAGAAACAAAATCTATATAAAGTAGAACATTTTGAGGCCTAACAGGAAGAAAATAGTAAAATTTAATACAGAATGTATAATAAAGTCTCATTTATGCTTTGACAATTCTTGCCTTCTCAAACCAACAAAATAATCCATATGAATGTTATCTTAAAACAGAAAAAGTATGGTTTAAAAAGTAATTTTCTGGAAATTTCAATTATTTAGGAAGAACATAAATTTTAGTCAAGGAAATAAATAACCTTGCCTTGTTCTAATCATCTGGAAATTATTAGGGAGTAAATGTATCATAAACTTAATAGGCCATCAAAGGCAGCACAATATGAAAGTACAAGATTCAGGGTTAGGGGACCTGGTCTGAGACCTGGGCTTGCCACCACTGCTCACAAGCCTGCACCAGAACAAATAC